CATCAGCTGACTCAGTCTAGGCAAAACATGTCCATTCAGCTCAGCATGGCTGAGCATGTGAACTGCAAAGAGGCCAGAAGTAGCCACAGAAAGGGTCAAAGAGAGCCTGGCCAGGCCAGGCTTGGGGATAGATTACTACTGGAATATCTAGCTGCCAGGTTTTTGCTGGTGAAATGGCGATGGTCAGAGAGCGATCCTTTGAGCAAGGCCTGAGGAGAAGGAGGAGGAAGGTCAGCACTGAAAAGGTAGACTTGGGAAAGGAAGACTCCAGAGCTTTGGGAAAGGATGTGGTGAAATTCTAGGGCCTGGCAAGGCAACTGTAGGGATTTAGGACCTAATCCAAAGGCCACAGTATTTCCATTGGCAGTACTGGGTTTTGGATCAGGACTTTAGGGCACAACCTAAGGCCAGGGCAACTTTGGGAGCAGATGAGAGAGAAGATCACCACCACCTGCCAGAGGAGAGTTCTCCAGAGTGCAGGAAGGTGCCAGCTAAATCCTGCCTCGGGTGCCATGGGCCCATAACATGCTGCATCATCTGCTGCGTGCGCATGCCACGCGCTGGGCTGGCATCATTTTGAAAGCATGCGTTGTGTCCTTTGCTGTTTACAGAAGAAGAACAATGTGACGAGCCCACAGGGGCACAGTTAGGCCCCACATCACCATACACAAGCGTGCCAGGCCTAGCGATAGGCATATTGCCTTTCTGATTGGTTTCCGTTCGCTTCTAAACGATAGAATACAGTGTGCTCCAGTAGACAGCTCACAAACTATTTAAGGAGTTGCTACCTGGTTCCTATACAGCATAGCATGGCCGTGTAACAAGGAGCAAGGACACGCCTTCGATCTGCATGGACAAGGGGTAAACTCCAGGTAAGCTGCCCCCCCTACCCTTGTTGCCCAGTGCTCAGGGCTATATGAGCGTTTGATTGGGAGGGTGCCAGACTCTGCAGGACTGGATTGAATCCCACACCGAGTAATTTCCCTGTTCTATCTAATCTTTAATGTATTTTATTTACCCTTGTAATGCCTGGGAGGTGGGACGGTGCTATCACCCCATTGCACAGATGTGGAATGGAGGCACAGAGAAACTTTGCAAGTTCCCCAAGGTCACACAGAGAGTCTGAGGGACAGCCTGGAATTGAACCCAAGTCCCAGCCTAGCACCCTAGCCCTTGGAACACCCTTCCTCTCTATCGTTGCCCGGGCTCTCCTCAGTCCTTCTTGGCTTATTTTAACTCTTTTCGATTTCTTGTTGTTCGAGGGGAAAAAGAAAAATCACCTGTCTGAGTCTGTTTCTTTTTTTCTGTTGAGTCATATGACAGTCACGCTGGCTGTGAAATTGCTGAACTGCCTGGGCCAAGTAGTAGTACCCCTTTATGGGGAACTGATCTGTGTGTGTAAAAAAGCAGAGCACGTGCCTTTCGGTAGAGTCAGTGCTTGTAAAAGAGACTTTCAGCTTGGTTTGCAGCATGGTTAGGCCAGTGCTAGGCTAGGAAAAACTGGACCGGTAATTCCCCACTTCTGGGAGCGGTAGAACAGGCAAGATCCGGTGTTTTATCGCTGTGCTGTCTGCCCCAACCTTGACTCCACTCCTCAGGATGAAGAGAAGGATCTCCAGTCAGACAGGCCCCAAAACTGTGCTTTTTGGGGTGGGAAAACCCTTCACGAGGAGCCTGATCCAAAGCCCATTGGCATCAATGGAAAGTCTTTCATTGACATCAATGGCTTTGGATCAGGCCTTTTATGGGATTCCTGCTAGAATGAGGGACGGGGATTTTTGTCTCTTCCTTTGAAGCACTGGGGGCTGGCCACATGCTGGGTAATAACATGAGAGCAATCCAGGTTTCTAAAACTAAACTGGCTCTTCGTTAAGAGAACGAGTTACAGAGGTGGTGCAACTACAGCTAGCATTCCAGCCATGTGCACACAGACTGGCTTCCTGGTAACTCTTCCCTCCAGGTTCCATGCAGGTTGCTCAATCCACTGTCAGAGGCACAATACTGGACTAGATGGGCCACAGGCCTGATCCAGTCTGGGAATGCCCAAAGTATCTGCAAGAGTCACTTGCAAGCAGTGAACTTCTCCTGCCACACACCTGTGCTTTCCCCAAATTTAACAAAGAGTATAGGGTGCCCTCCCCCGGCCTGTGCATGACTCATTGTGCTGCTGCTATAGCCAGGAGACAGCTCCCACACCCGCCCACATAGCACAAGACGGCTAGAAAACCAAATCCAAACACTGGTTTCAACAAGGAAGTGTCAAGAGTCAGCAGAAATAGAAAAAGGCAGCATGTACAGAAGTGGCTCCAGGTTACAGGGCCCCTGCATGAATTCAGATGGGAGGGCCCGTAGGCAGACCTCAGTAGCAAAGCTAGACCATGTGGGGAAATGGTCCTTAAGGGACATAAGCGAACAATTGCCAGCCAGGTAGGGCATAAGGGAGACCTGGGGAGAGTGGTTTCCCTAGGTTCATCTTCCTGGATGTGGGCGGTTGGGATAGGTAGTTGCTCAGAGACAGGACTCCCCATAGCCCAGTACCCTGTCTGACACACCTGGCAAATGCCACAGGCTTGTCCCAGCATGCAGAATGATAAAGAACAAATACCTTTAGTATTACATGCCTTAGGCACTCCCTCCTCCAGGAAACACCCATCTCTTGGTGGAGCCTGTGTTGGCCACCTCAGTGTTTGCTCTCAGATTGGATCAGACATGCCCTGAAGAAGTTCTCTAGTGTACAGCTCACCCAGCAAGGCGTTCTCCAGGAGCAGCCACTTGTAGTTCAGATCAGAATCACCGTCCGTCCTTATGCACACTCGGATTGTAGCTGGGCTCAGGGAAAGATTCCACCCATGCAGCAGTGTGGCATACAGTTAGGTGCCCCAAGAGGGAAGGGACTTGCATCTCTGGGAAGCATCATTCTTTAGCCAGGAGATACCGAACTAGATAGATCATTGGTCTGTTCCACCATAACGGCTCCTGTTTGCCGACATCAGAAGTCATGCCTATGGGATACTCATATTTTCCTCTGGACGTGACTATAGTTCAGGTTACTGGGAGTATCACACAATTGGAGGCTGAATTCTCTCCTTTTTAACCGGTTGTGCCAATGTAAATAGCCTGACATCCCTAGTGACTGACTCCTCTATTGGGGGCAGGATTTCTAGTGGACGGAGTACTGGATGTGGAGTCCGGAGAGCTGAGTTCTATCCCTGCTGTGTGACTTCCCTTCTCTGTGCCTCAATTTCCCCATCTGCAAAAAGGAGATAATGCAGGGTGCTTTGCGATCCAGAGAGCCGGGACAGCACAGCACAGACAGCCCTACACCTTGACTTACCAATATGCCTCAAACCTGCTCTGAAGAGCAGTGCAGTCTCTGCACTTGTTCAACCCTTGGCCTCTCTGCTGAGGTTGCCAGCAGAGTGGAAAGAGTGATGTAGACAGCAGTGCACCAGGAAATGGACTGAGGCCAGGTCCACACTACAAACTTCTGCCAGAATAGCTATGTCACGTCACGGTGTGACCTCTGACCAGGAGCGGCGCCAGGGTTTTTGCTGCTTTAGGCACCAGTGCTCCTCCTCCGAGCATTCAGCGGTGGGGGTCCTTCCGCTCTGCGTCTTCGGGGTACTTCAGCGGCAGGTCCCGGAGCGAGTGAAGGACCCGCTTTTATAATGGAGATATCCATCTCCTAGAACTGGAAGGGACCTTGAAAGGTCATCGAGTCCAGCCCCCTGCCTTCACTAGCAGGACCAAGTACTGATTTTGCCCCAGATCCCTAAGTGGCCCCCTCAAGGATTGAACTCACAACCCTGGGTTTAGCATGCCAATGCTCAAACCACTGAGCTATCCCTCCCCGCTGCCGAATTTCTGCCGAAGACCCAGAGCGGAAGGACCCCCCCCCCCGCCGAATTTCTGCCGAGGGCGGCAAAATGCCGCCCCCCAAATCCTGCCGCCCTAGCCGACCGCCTAGGGTCGCCTAGTGGAAGCGCTGGCCCTGCCTCTGACCGACATAGGTGTGCCGACAAGGGTCACTACTATAGATGGGGTTATACCAGCGAAAGCGCAGTTTTGCTGGTATGAGCTGCATCAACACTAGGAGTGCTTTGCTGGTGTAATAGATCAGTACAGCTCTACCAGCAAAATGTTCCTAATGTAGACACAGCCTCAGACTCACCTGATAGCCATCAGATGGTAACAACTCTCTTACCAACCTGGGCTGGCTCACTTGGCCTTATCGGTACAGGCGGAGCCCAGGCCAGGGAGTTGACTCTGCAGGACTCAGGTGACAATGGCAACGTAATCTGATGTTTTGTTTTGTTTTCAGCACTGAATAATCTCACAACAAACCTGGCAAGGGCAGCAGAGAAGATGCGCTGGGTGCCCCTGAGCAGCAGGATGAGTTAGAAAACAATTAGGAAAAGTCCAACCTTATTTCCTCCATCAAACTCCCAGTGTTCAGAGCACCATGCCCTGTGAGTACAGAGGCAATGGGGAGAGGGTTTGCGTCCACAAAGACAGCAAGGTTTTAAAAATGAAGTACCCATCAAAGTGGAGCTAAAATAGGAGGTTTGTCTGCAGATATGGTAGCAGGCATTCATCCAGGGCTGTAAAGTGCTGGGCAGTTAATTGCTTCCTAACTCTTTCAGTGGCCAGGCCATTCACTTTAAACTTTAGTTCCTCCTTCACGCAGATGTACCCTGTTCAAATCTCTGCGTGCAGGAAATTCCTTCAGAGGCACAAAATCTGATTATCTCAACCCCTTTTCGCTGATGTCATTTCTGGACTGCCTCTTTAGCAACCTTCCCCCTGACTCTGACTGCTGGCAAAAAAGCAGGGGAGAGAAAGGGAAAGAGAAATATACGCTCAGACAATCTGAGAGTTCTCGGAGACTCCTCTCACTTGACTCTTTCCTCCTCAGGAAGCCAAGTAAAGGGAAGAAAGCAAGAGCTTCTGCAAGCACCGAGGGCTAGAGCCGATGGCCTCTGGTTGCCACTAGAATCTTTTCAGGCTGGAGGAGGAGATCACAGGATGAATGCCACAGTCAGTAAGTGTCTTTTGTTTGCCCCCTTTGTTTGCTGTTGTGAAATTCCCACAAGTGGTGGTTTGGATTGAGCTTGTAGGAAAGCCGGTGGTATCTGATAAGTAACAGCCTGCTCTCTTGAACGGGCAAATCAGGTTTTGCAAACTCCTTTTTGAGTTAATAGACAAACAAAGGTTTCCAGATATGGCAAAACAACTGGTGACTTTTGGATTTCTAGACACGGGCCAGCACCAAGAGACTGCAGTGATGGGTGGGTGCTCCCTGAATGATTAGAGAGATAGTGGCTCTCTCGACAGAAGGCTCAGATCCCTGCATAGAGGTCAGGCTACACTGTATAGAGGGGTCTGGGCAGAGTCAAACCTGTGCCCTTTTCAGAAGTCTGTAAAGTAGAGCAGCTTTAGACAACACATCACGGAAAAAGAATGCATGGGTTGGACGCTGTCACTAAACCTTAAGCACTGCACAGCCTGAGAAACAGATGGTAATGTCTCCGGGCAACTAGTTTGTCCCATATCGAGAAATGGACTTGGCTGACCCAGGGGCAATTCTTGGCATCAGACACAGAGGTGGCTACCTAATTAGGCACTGCCTTTCAGGGCAGCACCCAGACTGTGGGAGGAGTGTGGCTGCAAGAAGAGGGTGGCCAGTCAGAAGGAATCCACAGTCCAGAGAGTGGACTGCCAGCTGGCTAGAGGACAAGAGGCTCACTCGAGCAAGGAATGAGGAGAATAGAGGGGAAGCCAAGCGGAGGCAGGGTAGAGAGATGGGAAGTGATCTGGGCAAAGGATAGCTCAGACAGACTTTCATTGGTGGCAGGTGCTTGGTGCTGCGGGATCTTTCACAATGTGTCCTAACCCTTGTGCGGAGCAACAGATTGTGGCTGCCTCACAGCATGGAAGCTGGGCATGCTCCTAATTACCTCAGGCATTGCTTAAGGAAGGCAGTCCTGGATGAGGCTCCCTCGCTAGAGCCCTGTCTCAATGGGCAAAAAAGGAGTAGCATGTTCCTAGCCAAATTAGTTGGCCATGTTGGAGCCTCGTTTCCCTGTAGGCTACAGCATGGCCAGCTCACAAGTCTTTCAGACATGCTGGTTTGCATCTCTTCAAGCCTGTTAGGCTAACTCAGTTGAGCTAATACATTGAGACAGGTCTTAGGGACAGGGGTAGAAGGCTAGCTCCATCTTTGCCCTATCTCAGACTAGAGAGAGGGGTGAAAGCCTCCTTCGGTAGCTTACCCCACCCTGGACTGTGATCTGAGCTCAACATGAGTAAGAGCACTACAGCAGTTTGCAAGCGTAGAGGTAGGGTGGGTTGGAGACAGGAGGAGGGAATGACATGTCCGGAGCGGGATCAGAGCAATCCTAGTTAATCCCAGTTAAATCAGGGGACCTGATTCTGCTCTCAGTCCAGCAGGTGTAAACAGGAGTAGCTCCAGTAAGGTCACTGGTGTTACACAGAGGTGAAACCAAGATCAGAGAGGAGACCTCCGCAGTCTGGGCTTGTAGCCATCTGAAGGGTTAATGGAGACCTCGATTTCTGAAAGACTCATTCATATTGCAGCTGTGCTGCATGAATCCTGCTGCTCCCTTGTGTAAATGCAGAGGCCATGGACTGAACATTACTCATCTCAGACTTATCTGTGGTGCTACCTAGCGCATGCAGACTAGTGCAGCTCTGTGACTGTTTGTGAGCCCAGCCATTCCCCTAGCCAGCCTGAGCCAGAGGTGCAGGAAGCAGCGGTACTGGGGGTGCTGCAGCACCCCCAGGTTTTGTGCCCGGCATCCCGGCCGCTGGCCCCATGCCCCCGCTGCCCAGGGTACCTGACACCGGCCCCGTGCCCCTGCCGCCCAGGGTCCTGGCCGCCAGGCCCGCTGCTGCCTGGGGACTCTGCTGTTGGACCCGGATCCCGCTCAGCTGCCAGCCCCGGGTGCTCGGCTGCTGGCCCCCGCATGCGGGATCCTGGCTAGCTGCCGGGCCCAGGTCCCAGCCACTGGGTCCACATGTGGGGTCCCGGCTGCCAGCCCCAGCTCTAGGGGGCGGTGAGGGGTGCGGACAGGGCAAAGGGGGGGGGTGCAGCTCAGCTCCCCCACTCCAAAAACTGTTCCAGCGCCACTGGCCTGAGCCTCTCCATGAAAAACATAAAGAGCCTCCTTTACAAAGCATGGCCTTGATTTGTGCCCAGGCAGTTCTGCATGCTCCCAAACACAGACACCCATCAGCCCAACAGGAAACCCTATCACCTGCATGTGGAAGTGATAACATTGGGGGATTAGTGCTGAAGAGTGTGCACCAATGTGTTCCTCCCCACAGACACACTAGATTATCAGAAATGCTTAGCGCCCAGCAGCTCCCTTCCGGGTCCTGAGCACGCTTGAAAATCTGATCAAAGGAGGCAAGGTACAGGCCCCTTTGAACATTAAACCCCAAAGGGAAACTGCTAATGAGAGGAGGGGAAAATGCGTAGTGTTCATTCTTGCTACTTTGGGATGCACAAGGCCAACATCACGTGTATTTATACTTTCTCCAAAGAGTTATTTTTTTCTGATTAGATTTTCATGACATTAGTTACTATCAGGTCCCTGTTTTTTGCTGGAGGACTCTTTGGAAGGCTGGAGTGGGACAGCAACATCACACTAAGCTGAAACCTGAGAGCGGATTGCCCAGCCTTTAGCTGCAGGGGAGGGGAGTCTGGGGATGCATCCATACCTACCTTATTGTAAAATACCTCATTCTGATTTTGAGTTGATCTGCTTCCAAAGCGAATTAGTTGATGCAGAATGAGATGCCAGATAATTTGTCAAAAAAAACAAACAAAAACCTTGTGTATGGATGCAAGGCAGTTTATCAGAAAACACCAAGTTAAATCCAAAATAACTTTCAAGAAGCCCTAAATCTTTGATGGTGCCATTATGGCAGGTAGACATGCCAGCTGGAAACATGCCACCACCAGAAGATACCTGATGTGATCTACCTGTTCATTTTACACACGCTCCACTCTAGCCACCCGTTGATCCAATACACAACAGGTTTGGGGAGTGGTTAGTTTAGCGGGTGCATTTACAGTCAACAAAGCCAAGTAAAACCATGGGGAGGGCGCCGGAGGGGAGGGCGGCTGGAGCCCTGGGAGGAGGGCGGCGAGCCCCAGCGGGGGCTCGGCTCTCCCCCCGGCGGCCAGAGCACCGGGGGCAGGGCGGCGAGCCCCGGCGGGGGCTCGGCTCTCCCCCCCACCCCGGCGGCCAGAGCGCCGGGGGCAGGGCGGCAAGAGGGCGGCGAGCCCCAGCTGGGGCTCGGCTCTCCCCCTGGCGGCCGGGGGGAGGGCGGCCAGAGCGCCGGGGGGAGGGCGGCGAGCCCGGCTGTGGCCCCGCTCTCCCCGGCGGCCGGAGCGCCACGCCGCCCCCCTCCAGGTGCCGCCCCAAGCACCAGCTTGGGTGCCTGGTGCCTGGAGCCGGCCCTGATCAGAACCCTTCAACTCTGAGGGTTTGGAATCTGAAACCCAATCCAAAATGTGCAGATAGCCCCTATCTCCGAAACAGGCTGAATCCTGTGTCGGAGAACTCTTGTGCTTTGGAGAAGGTGAAAGCTGAACCAGAGCCCAGGTCGGCGTGGCAGTAATACTTTGGTATCTAGCTCTGCTAACGGAACTGTGAACGGAGATGTTTCTCAAACAATGTTTTTCTCCGCTTCAGTACTGCTCCCTGATGCCCTTCTCTGCACTGTGTAATGGTGAATCCTTCTGCTGGCCAAGAATAGAATGAGTCACCCCGGAATGGAAGAATGATGAATCACCGCACGGTTAGGTTTGTGGACTGGGTTCTTTACCGCTGCCTTGCTCTCAGGAATAGCAGGAGTCTCAAATGGAACTTAGGGCTGGTCTCCCAAGTCAGTGCTTCATGCAGTCTCAGTTGAAAGTCAGCCAGGAAAGATTAGCTAGCAGTGATACGTGCCCTTTTAACAAATACTTTGTGGCCCAGCCTCCTCTAATGTTTGGCTCAGCTGTGTGGGAGGGACCCAGGTTTCAGGGTGGTAATGAAAGCCACAGCCAGGGAAGTTTTGTGTAAGTTTCTTACAGCCATTTTATTATGATGATTATTAAACTACTATTGGAGTAGAACCTAAGGACCTCACACAGGGAGCAGGGCCTCATTGCGCTAGGTGCTGTACAAGCAAACAGTAAGACAGTCCCGGCCCTTGACAGCTCACGCTCTAGCATTAGACAATATTCAGCAGAAGAATGAGCAGACAAGAGAGAAGGGGTAGAGGTCAGAAGAGGGCGAGGTAACAAGATAGCAGCGAAGATAGGGTGTAGTTGCGGTGGTCTCAGTGGTGTCAGTCTCCAGGCTGTGACATCAGGTGTAAAACAGTCCCTCAGCCTTGGCCCCAGAGGCCTCTCTTTATAGGATCAGTCTAAATTGCGCCTGACATCACCAGCGCCATAAGGATAAAATAGCGCCCAGAGCTCCAGGCAACACCCATTTGGGATGTGGAAACAGAAGCGCAGTTTGGACAGTGGCAGCGATAAAGTCAGTGAGGGAAACACGAGCTGAGTAACGCTGGCTCCTGCACACAGCACAAACACTGACAGGTTTGTTGGATGCCGGTCCCACTCACAATAGGCTCCTTGTGGCAGGCACTGTCAGTCTGTGAGGGCTTGTGCGCTGCCTGCCTCCAGCCCCTTCTCCTTTTGTTGCAGTGGAAAGCACAGCACAATGTGGGGTTTGCTAGTGAGGGGGACAAGAGACAAATGCAGACGCTCAGCGTTTCAGGGGCCTAGAAGTGGAGCCCATTTAACCAAGCTACAAACAGTGATGGTTAAAGCTCTAAGGTTCCTGAGCACCCATAACAAATGCAAAGCCCCATTCCAAGCTCTCCTGACACGCCAGGCAGCCTCTGAGGAGAAGCTGAATCGGGCGCAGGTAGGGATAGCAATGGGGAGATTTCCCGACGGGCAAAATTCAGCTCCGTGCGGAGGCCCAGCACAAGGCCTTAGCTGCCATTTATGCAAAGCAGCTGTCACAGAGAGTCTCACTTGCTATCTGAGCAAGAAGCAGTTCCCGAAGGGTGGGAGAGTTCCCGAAGGGTTGCACCGGGAGACCAATTGTAATAAACATGCCACAACATCATGGGCATAGTTGGGAGGGGGGGAGGGGGCGCAACAGGGGGGTGTTGTGCCCCCTTCCCCCAAACCACAGACAGGCGTGGAATCCCCCCCCACACACACACACACCCTGTTGGCCTGACTAGTGCTGCCCCCCAAAATCACGCCTATGCACAACATTACGAGGTACCTTCTCGCCATCCTGGATGTGCTGGCAGAAAAGGATTCAGGCAGTGGAGGGCACTGTCATTCCCGGGTCAGTATCCAGCCAGAGTGCCCAGAGCACAGAAAAATGAAGTGACATGCTGAGGGCTGAGCGGATCTGGCTCACCAGGGAGCCTGGCTGCAGGGAAAGGTCCGGCAGCCTAAGAGCTGGGACTGGTAAGCGAAGGGACAGTGGGGAGCCAGCCTAGTTGCTGGATGCTGGCCAGTGGCCGCTGTAGCCGGATACAGCACAGCGAGTGACATGTGACAGCAGGAGGGCAGTGTAAATATGCCCCACTGGGATCATAGACAAAAGGATTCAGGCTGGGGGCAGTCTGCAGGATAGGGTTCCTGGCCCCTGGGAGAGGGAGTGGGTGGAGTATCCCTGGCACGAGGAGCCCCATGGGATGCAGTGCCCCTGCCCTGAACTGGCCCCTAGGGGTTGAGTTAGGAATTGCTGGGTTGATCTTTTATTGTAATTGTTAAAGTCATTGTGGTGCGGGTATTTGCACCTTTAAGCAGCCCTGGAAAAAGAATGTGCTCTTATTCAAGGTGTATGAGTGCTACAGGGCCCCACCAAGGGCTGGAGCCTGGCCAGCCCAGCACTTGGAGCACCTGCTCTGCCTGCCTTTGAGCACGTGGTATGCACAACAGGCTACCCGGTGTGATTTCCAAAAATACATCACTTCCCATTCAGGCGTCTAAATAAAGGCCAGATAGTCACAGATAAACTCTGGCCCCCACTGTGGGCGCTGACCTCTTTTGAAAATTTCCATCCTGGAGGCGGCTCTGTAACCACAGCACTCTCAGTGACACGCAGCAATAGGGCTGGTTACCATACGGCCTTGGATTAAGTGGCGCCGAGGGCTGGTGGTGAATTTCCCTCCTCTGAATGTGTCTCGTGGTAGCTGGGATGTGAAGTCTAGTCTAGTCATTGTCTCTCGTTCCATCCTCTAGGCCCCCTTCATGAATTCCAGCAAGAACGTGGATTTGAAGATAATTATCATAGGAGCACTGGGGTAAGCAGACTTCTTCCTACTGGAGTCCAACAGTCCTGAGGGTTTGTTCTCATGAAGGCTAAATGAGTCCCACTCTAAGCCCCCTTTACACTGCTAGAATGATGTAGGTTGGCCTTAATGTAAATGAGAAAGTGGGACTTTATCTTCAATGGCTAAGGTTCTCCGATTTACTTTTCATGTATTTATAATCATCTCTAAGCTGCTGTGGAACACAGGGGAAATTAACAGCATTAAAAATAATCCATTAAAACATTAAGCCCTTAAATGTAGAGGTTCAAACTCCAATCTTCCTGTACTTACAGTATGGCACCCACCCACAAACCAAACTAGTTCACAGATCAGTTTGAAGCCTGGCTACATACAGGTTTCACACATCTAAGATGCATCCAAGACCAAGGCTAATTTCAGAGCATACTAGCGCAGATGAAAATGGCAAGGCTGAGTGGTTGGAGTTTGGTTCCCATCATGGAGTCATTATCCCATTAATAACAGGGTGTGGGAATCTGTGACTCTCCAGTCTTATTCTGTGCACCTGATTCTATAGTGCAACTCAGAAGTCCTGAGGCTAATGCATGTCCCTTTGTGTGCCTCTTCCTTTGTCCCAGGGTGGGGAAAACCTCCCTCCTGCACCAGTTTGTGCACAAGACATTCCATGAAGATTATCGGACTACTCTGGGAGCCAGTATCCTATCTAAGCACATCATGGTGGACAACACCCCCCTCAAACTGCAGGTGAGACACTTCCCTGTTTGGTCTCTGGCATCTATCCACTCAGAAGAAGCCTGTCTTTTGACCTGGTGTGTGTGCACAGCACCAGGCGACGTCCATTTAACAGAGGTCGGTGCACAAATAAGGGATCATTCAGGACCTGCTCCTGCTCCCTTTGAAATCAACGGTAACATTTTAACTGTTGCAGGCTTGTGCCTGATGTTCAGTGGTCCTGAGCACCCGTGGATTCTGCTGAAGTCAAGAGGAGCTGCAGGTGCTCAGCACCTGTGGAAACCAGGCCCTTGATAGCTAAATGGTGTACAGAGCAGCAGATAGTCTAAGGTCACAGTCAGCAGGTCACCATCTCCAGAGCATGGGGAGATGCGGGGAAGGGCTCTGCAGCAGCCCTGCCTCAGTTTCCCCTTCTCAGGACTCCTCAGTAAACGCCACAGCCTGGTTTGACCGCTGCAGTGCCTCGGCCCTTCACAAAAGCCCACCCCTTCTGGGGAAACAGAACTTAAAAACAAACAGAACACAAAATCTTTACCCTAATCTTAAACTAGGCCCAGCCTTTCTTTCCCAAGTGATTGGTCTTCTCCCCTCTCATTCTTCTGCCCACCCCTTTTCAGCCCTTCCCAGGCTCCTTTCCATCTCATCCCCACGCTGCTCTTCCCCAGACAGGCACCCCAGTCCTTCCTGCCTGGAGTCTTCCCAGGCCTCTGCCTATCTTATGCTCTAGCTCCTTGCAGCAATCTGCAGCCATCTGCACTTCCCTTTTCTCCTCAGGCCTCTGAGGTAAATAAGGTAGAAGCCAGTTTGAGTCACATGACCTGCTTCATTTCCCCCACCTGGGGAGGAGAGTTGGCTGTGTCACAGGTGGGGCTGAAGCCCATCACCCTTTAAAGGGCCAGTTACCCCATAACAGTCAATTAATGTTGTGCGTTCCTGCCCTTCTCCCCCATTAGATCTGGGACACCGGGGGTCAGGAGCGGTTCCGATCCATGGTGTCGACGTTCTATAAGGGCTCGGATGGCTGTATGCTGGCCTTCGACGTCACAGACCTGGAGTCCTTCGAGTCCTTGGATGATTGGAGAGAGGACTTCCTGGAGAAGATAATCCCCACAGAGCAGGGCTTCCCCATGGTGGTGCTGGGAAATAAAATCGACTTAAATGAACGGCAGGTAAGGAGGGAGCTTGGTCCCAGTTAAGGGCTCAGAAGAATCGGCCATGGAGGGTGGGAGGGATAGGGCTAGATTTCTATGACTAAATTTCATAGCGTTCTGGTGGTGCCTCCGGGTCAGGGTTGGAGCACACTGGGGAAACTCGCCCTCCTTCTGCCTGTCCAGCTTCTGGGAATGACACAGGACTCCAGCCTCCTGTCAATCACACACCGTTCACCAGCAGCAAATTCAATTAAAAATTTATAACCCATCACAAGCCCCACTTGAAGCCTAAATTCCCAGAAGTGGCTAATGCTGTTGGGTGCCCAACTGTAGATGCCTTAAAGGAGTCTGATCTCCAAAAAGGGCTGAGCTCCCACCCTCTGAAAATCAGGCCCCTTCTGTGTGTTTCCGGTTGGGCTTCCCAAAATTAAGGCACCTGGAACAAGTGGTTCCCTTTAGAAGCTATAGGGTTTTCTTACTATAGCTGGAGTATTTAGTCTGGCACAGGCCGAGTTTACAATTCACCAGCAAACCAGAAATTCCTGTCTGGAAGCGAGGGAAGGGAAATCATTATTAATAATTAATAAAACCCCTCAGCGGTAGCTCAACAGTTAGATTCCAGAAGATTCCCTCCCCAGAAGGCTGAAAGAAATCTCCTTCACTTAACGCCCCACCAAGCCCTCCTGTGACCTTGCTGAAGGAGGGACATGCTCCAGCCCAGGCTCTTTAAGAAGATCAGTGTCCTCGAAGAGCAATGAGCCAAATGTTCTGCTACCGAGCACTGTGTGCCTGATGGTACAATGCTCCGCACTTGCCAACACTTGGCCCTGTAGTCAAGAGACCACGCTGGGTTGCCAGCATGCACTGAGATCCTCATTCTGAAACCACGCTGGAGGCTCCCGTTGGCTTCAATGGGCATTGAGTGCGCTCCACACCATCCCAACATTTGCTCTCAGTGGCTGTAGAATGAAAAGCCCAAGGAGAAGCCCAGGGGTCTCTGAGCATATGGCTACCATCAGGACCGGCGAATACCCCACGCACTGGACTTGGTCACCTCCTTAAGGGCTGCAAATGAATAACATGACCACATCCCCTTCTCTTCTCCCAGGTGTCCAAGGAGACAGCTTCATTCTGGTGCAAAGAAAAGGACATCCCGTATTTTGAAGTCAGTGCCAAGAACGATATCAACGTAGTGCAGGCCTTTGAGACGCTCGCAAGGCAGGCCCTGTCGAGGGTGAGTAGCGGTGCTGGCCATGTGCCCTTGTGAGCTCTAGAGCCCTGATGTGGGACTTGAGAGACCTGGGTTCTGTTCCTGGCTCTGCTGCTAGTCTGCCAGGTGACCTTGAGCGAGTCATGTCCCTGCCCTGTGCCTCAGTTTCCCCACCTGTAAAATGAAGATAATGATACTGGTTTCCTTTGTAAAGTGCTTTGAGATTCACTGATGAAAAGTACCATTTAGGAGCTAGAATGATTATTGTTATTTTCATCATTTGGGCCAGAAGTCTCATGGAAACAGCTGGTGAGAATCTGGTGCCATTTAAGCTAAAACCCAAACCCTGGCCTGAATTTGCCCTTGGATTTAAATCCTAAACTTCACCTTATACCTAAGTGAGGATTCAGACTGGACGTTGACCAGTTCTCATGATTTTTTTTTATCTTTTCCAATAATTTTAGTCAAAAATGCAAATTTATCATTCATCATTTATTTCTGAAATATTTTCAGGACTTAATTTTAATTATTTTCAGCACTTAATTTTAATTTTAAATAATGTTTTAAAAATCCATCTTGCAACCACTCGGATGAAAAAATTCAGTGTTGAATATTTCTCATGTAAAAAAATATTGGGCAATAAACAAGGAGATAAATGTTTTCCTAAATAACATTGATAAAAATAATTCTAAAAGCTAATGAAACAAGAAATATTTTGCGGTTTTGAAAAACCTTTGCCAAAGTGTTGTTTTAATTTTTCGACCAATCATAAGGGATTCCAGAAAGTGTAGCCAGTATAGCTATGTAAACTGTGCCCTCTACTGGTCATCTCAGTGAAATCAATAGAGGAGGGAAAGCATCGGGCTTGAAAGCCAGTCATTCAGAAGCCGTCCTCCATTTTAAGACAGCAATTTTGCATCTGCAAGTATTTGCTGGTACAACCTGAGGTCAGTTACATGTTTAACCAGAGTACCCAGACGGTGCCCAGAAATCAAACAGCTCGACATGAAAATGGCACACATTGTGCCTGAATTTATTTAAATCTACAAAACTGCAGGCAAAAAATGTGATGGGCCCTTTCAAAATATGGCCCTTTTCCTAGGTCGGAATTAGTATTTAAATAAGAGGAGGAGTCATGATTAAAGTAAATGGTCTGCTCAGAAGAGAGGACTGGTATCAAACTAAACTCTACAGTCTTAAAATGGAGTTAACTTAAACCTGCAACATTTGCAGTGAAATGTTGCTAAGTCATCTCCATTGGAAAGGTGTGGTGTCTATTGCCTGTGGATGTATGTACAATACTACGATAGGTAGAGCATATTACTCTCTCTAACCACAAGGGTCACTGTCCCATCTGTGCAGAAGGTTCAGTAGAGTGATGTAAATGAGAGTGTTTTCATTCCACATGGGGTCGTGCAAACGTTTTTGTGATTTTGGTCCCATATTCTTAGTGAACCAATATTGTAACTCAGACTGAATCTCAGATGAAGCTGCCAGGCTTTCTGCAATTCTGTTCTGTTCAGAGTCATACACCTTGCCCATCACTGTGGTGCCTGAAAGCATTAAGCAGCCTGACTAGCATCTGTTGCGCGTGGTTCTTTCTTTTTGCCTAATTTTCATCCCAAATCATGAATCAGTCTGAGATCACTCAAATTTCAGCTCAAAACTCAGTCCCAGGTTCCTGGAGATTTATCCCCAGTTCTTCAAAAAGTTTGTGACCCTCAGGGAAACTCGGGTTGGTAAGAAACCTGAAATCGGGTGATTTCCCTCGGGGAAGTTTAGGATTCAGGGATTGTAGTAAAGCAAGTCCTTTTTTAAAAGCAAACCCAAGCCACTTTTATTTCCTCTTGTCTTTTTTCCAGTACCAAGAGATGCTCGAGAACTATTTAACAGACTCCATCAAGCTCACTCCTGACGACCAGCCCAAGAAGAAATGCTGCTGAATGAGACCTTTGGAGACACCTGACATCATGTCTCTGAGTCCTCGCTCGGCACCGAAATCGCTGAACCGACTCCATTCACTTCCGGTTTTGTGTTCAGCCACAGGAGATGACCACAGTGATCCGGTTCCACATTGCACAGCCAAGCTGACAAATCTCGTGACATTTACCGAGTGCAGAGAAGAGACTGACCTTTTCTCTAAATGCCTAGATTGGACTAACGCAGCCAGGTGCGGTCGGGACCCTTGTTGCTTCATTAACCTTCTAACCACGCATTTCAAAGCCTTGCACCAGCCTTCTAAACCTGGCTCTGTGCAGTCAGTGCTGAGTCCAGGTGGCCCAGCTACCTTCCCAGGGCTGTGGCTGGCTCAGTGACCTCACTCACCTGCTATCTCTCTGCTCTAGTTACACCTGTTGACACGCAGGCAGGTCACAGTGGATTAGTGGCTCACCCTCTGGCACTTGACCAGGCATTCCCAACACACGCCTGAATTGACAGTGCTAGGCAAGGCAGGGCTGTGCTGTCACTGCCCTGCAGGCTGGGCCTCCCTAGAGAATGTAATCTCAGTCCCCGCTGTTTGAACGCAAAACAGAGACATTTGTTCGCCAGATACCCAGTGTTTAAACTAACACCCTCACAGTCTGCACTTGATATTAAACAGGCGTAAGCTACTTATCCCCAAGGGAGGGAAGGGTGGATGGTCTAGTGGTCAAAGCACAGGCCTGAGAGCCCGGAGCTTCTACATTCTAATCCCAGCACTGACACACATTGCCCTAGGCATAACCTTTCTGTGCCTTAGTTTCTCCCCACCTGTAAAATGGTAGGGGGGCGTGATAACTCTCTCTCACCCAGAGATGAGGTTGTTTGTAAAGCACTTTGACAATGAGCTGGGCTGTGTTGTTTTATTGGCAGGGTGTTTTTTAAAGGAATACTTTTAAAGGGAGGCAGTGGGGCCTACTGGCTAGAGCGCTAGACTGGGTCACAGGAGACCTGGGTCCTATTTCCAGCTCATCTGCTAGTCTGCTGGGTGACCTTTGGTAAGTCACTTCACCTCCCCGTGCCGCAGTAGCCCCATCTGTAAAATGGGGATAATGATGAAACGTGCTAGGTAAGAGCTAGGCATGATTACTATTTTATTAATCACTGAACAAAGGGAGGCATGGATCAGATTTTGACACAAGCAAGGGGATTGAGCAGAACTCGAAAAGGGAAAGTGAAGGAAAAGCGAAATTTTGGGATCTGTGCAGATCTGTGACTGTCCTGAAGGGTCTCCCTGCTCAAGTGCCTGGATTTCTATCTCCACCTGGGAATGATGCCCAATTTCCTGCTTTTATTGCCCTGTGGGGTTCGGATTCATCTTTGGGTGTTAAAGACACAAGGGCTGGACTAAGCTGTGCCCGTAATGTGAAACTGACACATGAATTTAGGATTTTCAGTGATCCCAGGACAGGAGTAGTGGGAGGGAAAGCAGCACATTCCTACCTCTCGAAGGTGGTTCGTGGCACTTTTAGTTGGTGGCTGTGAGCAGCAGAAGCAGCTGCCACGTGGAACTTGGCCAACGCTTGCGGAATTGGTGAAACCTGGGTTAACACAGCAGTGAGGCTCACCGGAAGCCAAGCCGCAGGCTGGGGCCAGAGGGCACAGCAGTGTATCAATGCTGTTTCCATGCAGTTTGGCTTTGACTGTGGAAATCTCATCCAGCCATGAAGCCCAGAGGAGCGGTGGACCCCTTCCTGTACACCCTGCCGTGGGCTGTGATCTCTTCGCATACACTCGGATATGGGCTGAGCCATGGGCCAGGATCCCTTCGCGTACACCCTGGCATGGGCCGCGATCCCTTTGCAAACACCCTGACATGGGTCGCGCTGCTGAAGGTCTTTGGCCCAGTGTGCTCAAAGCTACCTTAGAGAAATGTTTCTGCGTTCAGAGATGACCACAAAAGCCCCGTTAATTTAAAATCATTCCAGCAAAAGTAAAAAGTTTACTCTGAAATGCTGGGCGTGTGCATCTTCTTTGTGTGTGGCTCTAAATGAGAGGATGTCCTGGGTGGGTTCCCTGGGAGAAGCAAATTTCACAGCAGTCCTGTGCGGGGGAATAAGGCAAGCTGGACTGGCACTTCCTCGGAGCGTTTAGTCCAGCTCTGAAGTGTCAGTGTTGGTGGAGAAGTAGATCCTACTGGAGGGGTGGGGAATCCCCTTCTTCCACCCCCAGGAGCTGCAAGGATCCGTTTCTGAAGCCCCTCAATCTTTGCTGCAGAACTTCTTTCGGTTTCACATTTCAAACGTGTCTAGCTCCTGCCTCTCTCTCTGAACCGGGAGTCACATAAGCCATAGGCCTGGAAGAACCTCCTGGGTCCTGGAGTCCAGTCTCGGGCTGTCTCAGGCCACCGTGACGCACAATCCTATTGTTGTTATTATTTGTATTCCAGCAGTCCCTAGAGACCAGGTCCCAGAAGGCGCTGCGCCAGGCACTGTACAAACATCTAACAGAGTCCTTGCACCGGAAAGCTTATGATCTAAATGAGTTCCGAGCCCCTCCTGCAGATCACAATGACATTCCAGAGAAATTCCAGGATTTTTCTCTGGGACCATCGCTATTTTCCCAGCAGAAATTTCTTTGACCAAACACCAGTTTTGCAAAGCACAGACAACAACAAATGGGGATGGAAGGAGTTTGGAATGGACGTAAGGGTCTAACTGATCACCACATTTGGGGTCAGGAAGGAATTTTCCCTCAGGTCAGATTGTCAGGCAGAGATCCAGGGTCGTCCCCCCCGCTCCTCCCCCTCCCGGTCATCTGCAGCCTGGGGCATGGGTCACTTGCTAGTTTGAACTAGAGTAAATGGTGGAATCTCTATAGCTTGAAGTCTTAAAATGTATGAAAGATCTGTATATGGGCCTGTCATTCTGCCTTTGGGCACAAGAGGTCGTCAGTACAGTGTGAAGAAAACTTCTATTGTATAGCCTCCATACCAGCTTTGTAGAATCACAGAAATGTAGGATTGGAAGGGACCTCGACAGGTCATCTACCATTGTCCTGCACTGAGCAGGGCTAAGTATTCCCTAGACCAGGGATCCGCAACCTTTCAGAAGTGGCGTGCCAAGTCTTCATTTATTCATTCTGATTTAAGGTTTCGCGTGCCAGTAATACATGTTAACATTTTTAGAAGGTCTCTTTCTATGTCTTTAATATATAACTAAACTATTGTTGTATGTAAAGTAAATAAGGTTTTAAAACTGTTTAAGAAGCTTCATTTAAAATTAAATAAAAATGCAGAGGCCCTCGGACCGGTGGCCAGGACCCGGGCAGTGTGAGTGCCACTGAAAATCAGCTCACGTGCTGCCTTTGGCACGCATGCCATAGGTTGCCTACCCCTGCCCTAGACTGTCCCAGACATGTGTTTGTGCAACCTGTTCTTAAAAACTTCTAATGCAGAGGTGGCCAACCTGAGCCTGAGAAGGAGCCAGAATTTATCAATGTACATTGCCAAAGAGACACAGTAATATGTCAGCAGCCCCCCATCAGCTCCCCCACCCACTTGCAGCCCCGCCGATCAGCACCTCCCCCTCCCTGCCCACACCTCCCAATCAGCTGTTTCGTGGCATGCAGGAGGCTCTGGGGGGAGGGGGAGGACCGAGGGCATGGCAGGCTCAGGGGAGGGGGGGGGAAGGGGTGGAGTGGGGGCAGAGCCTGTGGCAGAGCCAGGGGTTGAGCAGTGAGCACCTCCTGGCACATTGGAAAGTTGGCGCCTGTAGCTCCAGCCCCGGAGTCGGTGCCTATACAAGGAGCCGCATATTAACTTCTGAAAAGCTGCATGTGGCTCTGGAGCCATAGGTTGGCCACCCCTGTTCTAATGATAGAGATTCCACAACTTCCCAGGACCTTCATACCTTATACTTTTTCATAAACGTCCTTAATTGCAAATTCATTCCTACCCAATACATACTCTCTTTGGCTCACCTTAAGCAACCTTCAATTCCCAGAATGGTGACAAAGGAACTCTGTGCATAATCTCATTCCTAAAATCTGCCTGAATAACTGCTCTTTCTCCCTGAAATATAATGCCATTCTGTACACACAAACTGTCTCTTTTCTGAAAGAATGGTGTTATCTCGTTAGGTAATTGGTATTTTGTCGCTGGCCATCGTTGTAGGATTATGCATTTCAATGTCTACAGCATTCTATCTTGCTCTGTACCTCTGTATTTCTCTCAGCCTTTCTTCTGAGATAGGTAAGTCCTGTACCATATTTATTGTCTCCACCTCTGGCCCTTCCTTGTTGGGTTCTGGCAGGTATCCATGGCTTAAGATGTCTACCAACACCTAATCTTTCCCTGGGCAATACTTGATCTATACGGTGTACCTCTGCAGTCAGATCATCATCTGCTGTAAGTGCTTTGGTGCACTGAGTAATGGCTTTCTCCAAATGCCTTTGAGAGGTTTATGGTCAGATTGTATGTCCATGGTGAGACCATAGCTGGATTGGTGAATTTTTTCCATTCCAAAGAGTATTGCTAATACCTCTTTTTCAATTTGAACATGGCCCTTCTCTGTCACGGACAATGCTTTGCTTGCAAATGAAACTGGTAATCCCCCTTGCAACATGGTAGCCCCCAGGCCCTAATCAGCTATATCGCATTGCAGTATTAGGAGCTCCTCTGTGTTGTAATATTTCAAAATAGGAGCCTTCCCAGTCATCTCTTTTACTGTCCTGAATGTTTGCTCATGTTGGTCCTTCCACGCCCATAAGATGTCTCGATGTATCAGCTGTCTCAAGATCTCTCATTTCTCAGACAGATTGTTGCAAAACTGTGCTAAATAATTGATCATTCCCATGAATATCTGGACTCCTTTAACGTCACTGGGTCTTGGCATTTCTCTGTCCTCACTTTCTCTGGATCTACTTTCAGTCCTTTGGAGATCAACATATATCCACTGTATGGCACCTTGGTTACTTTCAACCTGAGCTTGTCTAAGTTCAATTTAATATTCTTCTTTCTGCATCTCTGAAAAAACTGTAGTAATTTGTAGTCACGATCTTGTTGTGCTTGTTCTGTTTTATCACCCTCTCACACTATCAGCACATCATCTGCTATTGTCCGCATTCCATCAGGCCCTTTAACACTTGGTCAATCTGCTCTGGAATAGCTCTGATTCCAGACTGATTCCCACTGCATCCTTACTCATCAGTATCTCCCAAGTGGAGTTGTGATGGCTGTCAAGTAACTGGAATCTTCATCCAATCTGACAAGCCAGAATTAATTTTTTCCATTGAACACTGTAATGACTCTTGCTTTAGACAGATCTGGTAATATGTCCTCAATTGTAGGCAGAGGGAAATGGTTCCATTTCAAAGCTTTCTCTAAAGCAGAGGGGGGCAAACTACCACCCGCGGGCCACATCCGGCCCGCAGGACCTTCCCTCTGGTCCCTGAGCTCCTGCCAGGGAATGGGGTCAGGACAGGCTTGCGGAGGAGCCAGCCCAACTCCCCGGCAGCACGGTGAGCGGGGCAGAGGCTAGCCCCTGCGCCTCCCCCCCCCCCCGCCTCCCTCGCAGTCACAGTGCCTGGGGAGTGTGGCTGCAACTCCGGCCGGGCGGCACGTTATAGCGCCACCAGACCTGGTGCTCCAGGGCGGTGCGGTCAGGAGGTGGGG